CGCTCCGGTCTGGGCGACCGAGTGAGACTCCCACTCAAAAGAAAAAAAGATACGTTTTTTTGGAGGCCCACAAAGGAGGCCCACGAAAGTCATTACGTGGCCCGGAGAGTGAACCCCGGGTGTTGCCAAAGCTACGGCTGGTCTCGGTGGGCTGGGCAGACCCAGCCTTGCCTCTCCTGGCTCTGTGACTGTGGGCAAATCACTTCTCCGCTCTGAGCTTCAGTTTCCTCCTCTCTAAAATGGGTGACGTTGGTATGAATGTTCACGCATTCGGTGCGTGTAACGTGGGTTTATTGAGCAGCTACTTTGTGCCAAGCACTAGGCCAGGCCCAAAAGATCCCTCCTTCTTCAGCTAGCATTCTCACGGGCTTCTCAGCTCCATGTCCAGATGAAGTTCTGATGGGCATTTAGCGTCCCCCGAGTTAATAAAGACGTCAGCTATGGCAGAGGTCCCCGGTCCTCAGTTTCCCTGCTGTGCTGAGTCTCCCAGCCAGTCTCGCCAGATCGCAAGCTCAGAGATGAGTTGATTTGTGAGCAACCCCATCCCGGGAGGCTGGAGCACAAGGTTTGGCTCGCCTGGCACTCGTCCCTCTCCAGGGAGTCATGGGAGACCCCAGACCCCACCCTCAATGCAGGGACCAGAGGGTCTGAGAAGCAAAATCAGGACCTAGCAGTTTGTCCAGTGAGATATTGGAGAGTTTCCCGCAGAGAGCTGGGGTTGCTTTTTAATTTAAAGTGTTGCTCTTTGGGCAACCCCTTCGGGTCCCCTCCCACCGGGGGAGCTTTTCTGTCCTCTCAATAAATCCTGCTTTCTCACTTAAAAAGAAAATATTACTCTTCTCCTGTCCTGAACTCCTCCAGGGCTCCCCGGCATCCTCAAGTATGAAACTTACAAAGTGAAAGGCCAGGAGAGCTGACAAGTTAAACTCTTATGTAAAATCGTGTGTGCTTATAGCAGCCAGGCCCCCTAAGTTCTCTTCCCTTAAAGATGCATCCCTGGACAACTCAGTAGGAACAGACAACTTTTCAGCTAGCAAGGACGTAGATGGACAACCAGCCTGCGTCTCACACACAGTAGATTCTCAGTAAATATGGGTTGAATAAAATGTGTCTTATTCAGCCCACAAAACTTTTGTCCTAAAAAAAAAAAAGTAAGTAGACTTTTGGACAACTTGTTTTGTCTCAGAGAGGACCACGCAGGCATTTCTGTCTTCAGCACACAAGCACGTGGTTTAAGGAGGCTGCTTGTTCACAAAAATACTTGGGTGTGGATTCCGCAGTAAAAAGATAAGGACAAAATAAGCGGCCTCCTCACCCCATTCCTTGAAGGTGCCCTGATCCCAGTTAGTGAAGAGAGACCCCAGGATTGCCACAAGCCTGTTCCCCTCGGAGGTTTCCAGAGAGGGAAGAAATGGTGCAGGAGCCAGGATTTGGGGTGTGCGGCAGGCCGAGATCTTTTCAAAACCGAATGCTTTGCAAATACGGAGAGTGAGACCCCAGCGGGCTTCACGGTGACTCTCTCTTGGGGGATCGGGTCAGAGGAACAGCCAGCCAGGCCTCTGCAGGGATAGAGGCATTGATGCCCGCGCCCAGCCACCGCAACGTTCTGCTTTCTCCCTGTAGCCTCAGTGCTGGCTGCTCAGGTACTGACAGAGAGGTGCAGTTCGAGATGTGTGTTTTCCCGTTTAGACAATCATCAGAGAGACCGGGGGGCCCGAGCACGGGCGTCTTTGTTCTTTCAAGACCTGGGCCTTTATGTAAAAGGAGGATGTCTTCTCCCCGACACACAAACACCTGGTATTCCATATTTGCCCTCAGGGGACGCCGGTCATCAGCCCAAGAGTGGTCAGCTGCTTCTGAGGACAGGCCGTGCTCATGAAATGTGGGGGGCCAGTGTCCTTCAAAGTGGACCTGACGGCATCCATGCAGATGAATTAATGCAAGACAGGGGGGCGGGGGGCATGAGACTATAACTCTCCATCAGAAACAGAAGCAGTGTGCCCACAGTGACGGGCTCTAATGCACTAGGAAGCAGTTTTCTGTTTACCTTGTTTTTTTTTTTTAACCTAGAAGCATCTCTTAGAGTAAACTTGATGGTGGGAATCCAAGGTGTGCACCCGAGATTGCAAGTTAAATTGGAGGAAGAGGAGGCAGTGTAGACAGGAAGACCCAGCCAAGGGCCCAAGCTCCTCGAAGAATCAGACGTCAGGGTTTCGAGTTTCCTTGGGAATAAGGGTCCCTCATGATGCTGGCAATCCCACCAGGGACTGACTTAATGCTTGTCGTGGCATTGGGAAATGGGTTCTACCTCTACTCCCATTTTACAACTAGGTAAACTGAGGCTCCGGGACATGATGATATCATTCCAACTAAAAAAAAAAAAAAAAAAGGTAGATAGCAAGTCTACCTTTTTTTGTGTTATTTAGCACATTCACAGTATTGTGCAGCCATGACCTCTGTCTGATTCCGTGGCTTCTCATCACTCTAAAATAAAATCAGTTCCCTTCAAGTGGTTTCTCCCCCAGCCCCTGGCAAACACCAGTCTGCTCTCTGTCTCTAGGGAGCTGTTTCGGACAGTTCACGTAAGCAGAGTCATGCGAAAGGTGGCCTTTTGAGTCGGGCTTCTCTCACTTGGCATTATGTCTTCAAGGGGCCTCCACATCGCAGCATGTCAGGCCTCTGCTCTCATGCGTGGCTGAATACTGTCCCACTGTGCGTATATGCCACAATCTGGCCATCCAATCATCATCGACAGCCTGTTCCCTTTATTTGTTTGTTTGCCACCCAGGTTGGAGTGCCGTGGCACACTCATGGCTCACTGCAGTCTCAACCTCCTGGGCTCAGGTGATCCTTCAGCCTCAGTCTCCCAAGTAGCTGGGACTACAGGTATGTGCCACCATGCCCGGCCAACTTTTTAAAACTTTTTGTAGAGATGAGATTTTGCTATGTTGCCCAGGCTGGTCTCAAAATCCTGAACTCAAGCAGTCCTCTTGTCATGGTCTCCCAAAGTGCTGGGATTACAGGCATGAGTCACCATGCCTGGCTGGCCTGCTCTGTTTTAATATGGGAGGTAGGAAGACTTGCTCCGAGGACTTCCCTCCAGGACATGAGGCTGGGGTTCCATTCCCACCGCTGCCGCTTACACCCCTTCAATCGGCCGGATGGTGTCCCGACTCTCCCAAATGTACCAGGACTCCCAAGACAGGCCACATCCCTCCTGGACCTCCGCCTCCTCCCACAGAAGGAAGGGCTGGCCTCTCTGCCCCTGGTATCCTTCGTGCTCTGCGCGTCTGCAGCCTCGTGGCCTGGTCTCTTGACTGCAGCTTCCTGCGTTCTCTGTTCCTCTGCCTTCACTGCCCCCCTGCCACTCATTCCTTGCACCCTCCCTGCATGGCCCTGGCCCTGGCTGGGCAGCTCTGCTGGTCAGAGCACCTTTCCCTCCCCTGGGAGGCTGAGTGCCGCTGGCCGGCTGCAGCTGACCATCCTGCTTCCGGTCTGCTGCTCCTGAGACATCCCACCCCCTGCAGACAGCACTGTGTCATGGAAAGAGCTAGAATCTTTTGTTTGCTCTGCCCGTGGGCATGTTGTTATGTCTCTGTGCCTCAGTTTCCTCACCTGTAAAAGAGAATGATGGTAACGCTACCCAGAGGGCGGTGATGAGGACTGAGTGGGAGCCTGTTTGCAGGCACCGGTGCTGGTAGACTCCCTGCTCCTCCCATCCTGGGTTGGGTGCACACCCTGCACCTGCCTGGCTGCTTTTCCAGCCAGCCCCATCCCCAGCTCTGTCTGACCTGAGCGAGTGGCCAAGGTAGGGGCCTGCAGTTCAGGTGTCTTCCCCACCCACCTCTGGGGTCGACTCTCGTGCCTCCTCCGCTTGGGCATTCAGCCGTGGTTTGTGCAGGAGGCCCCATGGGAGAAGCACAGGCATGGGTACACAGACACAGGCATGGGCACGTGGTCATGGACATGGACACGGGCATAGGCACACAGACACAGGCACACAGACATGGACACGGGCACATGGACACAGGCACATAGATATGGACATGGGCACGGACATGGGCACATGGACATGAGTACAGGTGCACAGCATGTACACACAGGCACACAGACACAGACACAGGCACGTGGACATGGACAGGGCACATGGCCATGGACATGGGCACATGAGCACAGACATGGACACGAACACACAAACACAGACATATGCATGGGCATAGGCATATGGACACATGGGTACACGGACATGGACACGAGCACACAGACATGGACATGGGCACATGGGCATGGACATGGGCATGGGTATATGGATGTGAACACACAGACATGGACCATAGGCACATGGACACGGACACGGACACAGGCACATGAACAAAGAATAGGGCACAGAGACATGAACATGGGCACATGGACACAGGGATGAACACACGAACACACAGACAGACATGGGCACATGGGCATGGACACGGACACGGGCATGTGGACATAGACATGGGCATGGGCACATAGGCACGGGCATGGGCATTTGGACATGACACAGGCACATGGACATGGACACAGACAGGCACAGGCACACAGACACAGAAACGGGCACACAGACATGAGCATGGGCACATGAACATAAGCACGAACACACGGGCACGCAGACATGGACATGGGTACGCGGACATGGGCACGGGCACAGGCCACTCTCTCCTGATCAGCCTCTGCCTGTTTCTCCTCCCAAAGGGTTTTGCGTGGGGCTTTCAGGGACGTTGCCGAGGGGATGTGCACACCCCATGGCGGCTGCCCCAGGTCCTCAGGACGTGTCTGGTGAGGCAGGGTAGGAGCACAGGCTCTCTGCTTCTGCTTTCCCACACATCTTATGCTAGAGAATTTCAGGATCTCTGGGGAGGGGGTGGAGAAGTGGGTGCTGGGATGGAAGCACAGAGAGATCCTTCAAAGACCAGCTCGGCCCTGGGCCCTCCAGGGACAGCGCCCCTCCCACCATGCAGCTCACCTTTGGCTGCAA